ATTGTTGTTGGGGGCAATATGCTGACTCTGTAAACCGCTTAGAGAGGGCTGAAAGCCCTATGAAGCAGTATATAAGTCTAACCGCTATTGCTATTGATAAATCGCCAAACAAACAAAAAATTGAATAATAGAAGATAAATTCTCAACTGGACAGCACTTTCTTTGCTGTGCGTCTCCCCAAAAATATAGTTCCCATGAACCCCCAAATTGCATTGGAAGTCCAGAACAGCTTCTCAGCCAATCAAAAGCTTTTTTCCTGTTGTACCTGTGTGCATGTCTGCCAGACAATTTAAGCCAGCCCATGATGGCAGGGGACTGAGACCTGGTACCTACTTCAGTGGATGAATGAATGGATTTAAACTGTTTGTACCCTGATCATTTTCTTCCTTTCCCCTTCCCCAGTTCTCAGAGAAGTTTAATAAACCTATGAGACACAAAAGCCGCGGCTGATGGTTTGATGTATATAAATGGGTTTAGAGCAGCGTAAAAGAAAGAGAAGCTACCAGTGTGTGTTTCGTGATGAACCAAAATTAGAACAAAATAGAGGGCATTTGCATTAGAAAGAGCCGCATTCTTCCCTTGGGTGACTGTCAATCTTGACTTCAATTGTAGTTCGCTAAAATATGTAAATATTTCCCCCCCCTCCCTTTTTCCCTGTGGCTGATTTTTACTAACATGAATGAAAATATAATACTGTTCCCAATTCGTTTTAAGCCAAGTTCTAGGTGTGGTTGTATCCTATCTGCTGGGATCATGAGGTTTCTAGCTGGACACATATAGAGAGTTCAAAGATTTTTTTCCAGAGGTGCTCTGCCCTTGCCTTCTTGAGAGAGAGAGAGTGACTGGCCTACAGCCAGAAGAATTAGGGTTCCCTGCAGTGGTGGGTTCCAGACTCCGGCACAGCCAGTACACTACTCACGGGACCGGGCGTCTTAGACAGGTACGGGCGCTGTGCATGCATACACCAACATCCAGCTGTCCGGTGGAAGTCGTTCAGGTGCCTCATGGTGTGCACGCATGCGCAATGGGCCGGTCACATTGTTAAACGGCCATGAAACGTGGGCGGGTGGGCCAAACGAGCCACTGAACCGGTACGGTGGCCTCTTCTCCCGGCTACTCCCAGTACGGCTGTACCAGGCCGTACCGCCTGGAACCCACCACTGGTGCCCTGGTTTTTCGTCTGTAACCACTTCACCAAAGTAGTTCTCCAATAAATGCCATCATTTCCCTCTTTTAAAAAACTGGTCTGTTTCAAAACCATTCGTGCACTCTTTCCAGTGGTGGGATTCAACCGGTATAACAACCAGTTTGAT